TTCTTTGCATCATGTAGCAGCTGCTGGATTGATTTCTCATGGTCCCTTACTATTTTAAGGAAATTTTTCTTTTCCCGGTCACTAATTGCAATCTTTTCTTCTATGTCTGAAATTCTGTCCTCACATTGGTTCATTATGTTGTGTAAACTTCCAATGGAGTTTGTAATCTCCTGGAAATCTGTTTGTATCTGTTTTATGGATTCCATTTCTTTCCTATGTTGGGATTCCATCATGTTCCTCAGCTCCTCTATTTTTTTTTATCTGTGTCCTCTCTAGATTTATTAATCATGTCTTTCACTATGGGCACAATCTCTGCTGTTATCTGAGAAATTATTTCTGATTTCATTTTTTCCAGATCCTCTTTCATTGCCAGTTCAGGGAGTCATGGTGGTTGATTATCAGATTGTTCCATCTTCTTTCCCTTTTGGGTTGCTGTAGGTGTTCTGGGAGTCTGTTTTTGAGACTTGTTTACATGTCTTCTCATTTCAAAGGGGGTAGGGTGGGGTGGGGGTTGATGTGTGCTGCTGACATCTGCAGAGCTCACCTCCTAGGTGCTGGGAGGAGGGGTATGGCGGCCCGAAAGGTTCACCTCTGCAGGAGTTTGTTAAAAGCACTGAGAAAAAGCTCCAGATAAGGATTCTGGTCCCACTTTGGCCTTTGCTGACTCACTCTGGGACTATGGCCAAGTCATGTCACTGATGCTCAGCTTTTGCTGAACCAGCAGAAGATGGAAAGGACACAGTTTACATCAAATATTAAATCTGCAATAGCACCAGAGCTAGAAGGCATTGTCTCTGCTAAATCCAATGCTCTTTGCCTGCTTGATTTCTTATAGGGCAGATCAATGAAGAATTTTGCTGTGTGCATGAACTTCACATCATCTATCAAGCTTGCATATTTATTTTCAAGGAGCTGGTCAGTTTGTCTTAAGATTTCATTCCTCCAAACTGAGATGGGAATTGATAGCAAGCACTTACAACAGTGATATAAAGAAGATATTAATCCTCTATTACAAGTGGAGAAACTGGGCTTCAAAATAACTGAATTTACTTGCCTGTATTCTCAGATTAGGCAGGAAAGTTGTTGAGTCCAGATATGAACTCAGGCCCTCTGGGTCCAAAACTCATACATCTACATACTGAGAGGGGATTCTGAGTGTTGGCTAAGAAGCTTTTCCAGGGTACAAGGGCTCCATGGGGTGTCTTGGGTTCTTCTCACATATAGAGGCCTCCAGAACAGAAGACTGTGGTCTGGGAGTCATGGCACAGCTGTTGTGAAGGCTGTATACTATCTTGTGCTCAGCTCCTTGGAAGAATGACAAGAATCTCAATCCCTTTCCTACATCCCTTCCACTTTCCTCCTCTGAGGGGGCAATGTGCCTATAAGCAAAAACTAAGCTCTCACCAAGCTCATCACTGGTACTGATAAACAGAAGTCAGTGTCAACCAAAATGTAGCCTCATAGCTTGGAACTGCAGGGAAAAATAGGGCATGTTCTGGCCTATGACATCAGATACAGCACAAAGGACATTACTGGCCATCTTCGAGTTAAGAAGTCTCCAGAGAGTTCACAATTTCCTGTCTTCCAGTCCTGATCCCCTTCAAGAGAATCAATGTTTTCTTTTTGCTGGAGCTGAAATTCACATTTCAGTCCCCATTGGATCATAAACTATGTTTCATGCATCCGCACAAATTTACCAAATATATTACTGTCTTTTGCATTTTTTTCTGTAAAGATCTATCTTAACCTAATACTGTTCCATCTCCATTAAGGCACCCCCTTTAAAAGTTATCTCAGCAAGAACACTCCTTAAGTGCCTGCAATTTCATTTCCACTGTCAGCTAGAAAACTATAAAGCTGAAGTATGGCTACAATATAGTGAGTACCTACTATGTGCCATGTATCTTATGCAGTGATTAACAGTATGATTTATAAGGATACAAGTTGGTTGCTAAAGCAGAGACTTCCAAGCAACAGTAGTTAGATGAATTTTATTTCTTGCTCATTTAACAGTCTAGGAGTAGACAATCTGAGATTGGGGTGGAGGCTCCACAATGTCAGAAAACCCAAGTTTCTTCTTTCTTAATGCTCTGGCCTCTTTAAGTATTGCCTGTGTCCAAGATGGTGCTTTTCTATGTTCTAGCCAGCCATGAAAAAATAGAGAAAAACAATGCTTCTTCCTTTGAAGGACATGAAGTTATAGATAGCACAGCTATACACTTCACGCTAGCTAGAGCTTAGTCACATTCCTACACTCAGCTGCAAGGAAGGCTGGGAAATGTAGTTGTAATCTAGGTAGCATGCACTCGGTTAGAAATCAGAGGTTCTATTGCTGTAGGAAAAGAGGATAATGCATATTAAGGCACCTCTAGCAACATGTGCCATATAAATTGATCCCAAATGAGACCAGACTCTAAGATCTTTGAATCTGTGATAAGAACAGGCTGAAATTAAAGTGTTGTAAGAGCGGCACAGCCTCACTTAAACTGAGAGTGCCATGCTTTCTCTATGAGTGCACTTAATAGGACATAACTCAAAATATAAGGTGTGACTTGCTCCATTTGTGTGACAGAAATAAAAAAACATCTCCATGGGTAGAGACAGGGTTTCCCCTGAAGGGAAGGGAGGTTCATATGGTAAACCTCCGGGAAGGTAGTCGGTCCTGGACAGGAGATGCAGACTCTAGGTCCAGCCTTGAAGAAGCTGGCTGAGAGAGGCACAGGAAGTGTAGCAGTATAGGGAACCTGAGGATATACTTGGACCTGCTCAGTCATAAGGAATTACTCTGCTTTGCATCTGCTCAAACTAGTCCCAAATCATCAGTAAAATCTTATTAAGATATACGTCTTGGTTTCTAGTCTCATGCAGGGAGTTAAGGCAGAGTGCCTACTCCACACTGAGGATGAAATAGACATGCCACCCAGGCTTTCCTTCAGTTTCTCAAATATGTCATGTTCTCTGCTGCTCATGGCCTGTGTTCATGCCTTCTCTCTGCCTCAAATGCTTTCCTCTACCACATTTGCTTGTACACTCCTGCTCACTATGAGCTACCATCTAGAATGTTACTTCCTCAAAAAATCCTCCTAGAGTTCCTTACCTCTCACTTAAGGAGGTTCTTTCTGATACTTCCCTATTACTGTAACAAAATACCCAAGGCAGGCTAAACCTATAAAGAAAAGAGGTTTATTTAGCTCACAGTTTTGGATGCTGAACTCTAAACAGCATAATGCAGGCTCTGGCAATGGGTGCCTTGGCTTTGTCACCTCATGGCAGATGGTAATGAAGGGAGCACATGTTGGGGGAGAGATCACATCTTGAAACAGGAAGCTGGAGAGACTAGGATCCCACAATCCCATCTAAGTTTCCAGTGGCTTAAGGTTCTCTCACTAAGCCCCACCTCTTAAAGGTCTCACCATCACACTTGAGGACCAAGATTACCACACGTGAAACTTGGGGGGACAAACTACATTGAAATAGTAGCAAATCCATGTTTATTGAATGTATGGTTTGTGATTGCACATCTCTGTGGGGTTGTTTGTTCAGTCCCTTTCTCCCCTATTAGATTATGAGTACCACAAAGACAGGACAATTTTTCACACTCTTGAATGTCCAGTACCTAGGACATTATCTGACATGTAGCATGAGCTCAAAGCAACTGGTATTGTTGAATGGATGAATAAGAAGAGTGGATGAATAAGACTCACACCTGAGGCCAGAGTAACACAGGGCATCAGCAGAGGGCAAGTATGGCCACCAGCGTGTAGAACCTCCAAGGGCCATTGGCAAAGAGGCAGCACCATGGAGAGAAACACAGACAGGGACAGAAACACAGCAGCTGACAAGGGTCAGCCAGGTGACAAGGACACAAGCCAGTTGAAGAGACACATTTGCAGAAAAGGAACTTACCTGACAGGTTCTCACATTCTCCACATCTAGATTATACACACGGAAATGCTCATATCTAATTCTCTAAGCATGTCATAGGGCACGAGTTTTAACCCCAGTTAACAGATGTGAAAACTGAGGCTCAAAAATATTTGGAAACCACCCAAGGTCACAGAATGAGCAAACGGAGTCTAGACTCAAGCCTAGGTCAGTACACCTCCAAAGACTATCCTCATTCTCTACAGTCTGCCTCCCAGGGAAACAAAAAGGAAACGAAAAAACCCTACAAAGGTTGACTCGAAAGACAAATGGTTCTGGCTGATGGCTGCTCCGCCAGGACTCTTCTGCACGGATGCTTACTTGGCTCAGCTCTCCCAGCCTATTTTCTGAGCCTCTGATATTTAAACTTGACACTTACTGCTTTTTATGAAGTTTGATTTCAGCTATATTCTTTGAAGATTGCTGTTGGGACTCCCCTGAGAAGCCCTTCTCCCAGCGTAAAAGGGATTTTTCCCTTCTCCCTCTACTCACAAACCAAGCTTTCGGATCCTGTCCTCTGAACGCACAGAAGTTTATTTGTGCTCCTCCAGGGAATGACCCCAGATGGAACATCCTGAAATGGGCCCAGTCTCTCCAAAGGGCTGTTCAGGTTTGTATTTCCAAAATTTCTAAAAAAAAAAAATGCCTATTTTTCCCCCCAGCATTTCTACTAGAGAGTGTTGATCCCAAGAACATAATAAGATAGATGTGTAGAGGTGTCAGATCAAAGACTTTTATTGGTAGAAGTGTTTATAATAGTGAAAAAATGGGGAAAACCCCAAATAGACAAGAGCAGGACTGGTAAAATAAATGGAGGTGTTTCTATAAATGTTATACAATGTCATCATTAAAAATGACAATTTAGACTTTTACTGATGATGAAAAATGTTCAGCGTGAGAAAAGCTAGACTCAGAAGCAAGGTGCATAATATAATTTCATTTCTGTTAAAATACAGATTTATTTTCAACTAGATGTATTAGAGGTTGCTATCTACCAAATGCTACGTTAAGAGCTGAGGATGCAGTATTGAACAAACTGAGTATTGTTTATCAGGGTATCACCAATCCATTGACCATTCTCTGGTGATGTATTAGTCTGCTTTCCATCACCATAAAGAAATCTCTGACGTAAGCAACTTATAGAGAAAAACATTTTATTTATGCTCAGAATTTTGGAGGCTCCAGTTCAAGGTCAGGCAGATCCATTTGGACTCATTATTTTGGTCCTCCGGCAGGGCACTCTAGAATGCAAGATCAGGGAGTGAGTTTCAGAGCAAACTGATCACCTCATGGCCAGAAAGCAAAAGAGAAAGAAGCAGAGCCTGAGATCCTACAATCCCTGTCAAGGGCACGTCCGCATTGGCCTGAGGATCTCCCGCTAGGCCCTACTTCCTGCAGGTTGCCTGTCTTAGTTACTTTCTTATTTCTGGGACAAAATACTCAACAGCCACCAGTTAAAAGAGGAGAAGTTTATTTTGGCTCACAGTCTGTAGAGGTTTCTGTCCAGAGTCGGATGGCCCAGCAGAGGGGCATCACAGAGAAGAAACTGTTCATGGCCTGGCCAGCAGGAAGCATGGAAAGATGAAGGGAACAGGAAGGATGTATCCTGTTCCAGGTCTCACCCATAGTGAACCCTGTCTTCCCAGCACGCCCAACATCACACCCAGCTATAAACCCATCGGTGGACTAATCCAGTACCACACACCCATGATCCAATATCACATATCATGATTCATCACCTCACAGAAGGCCCACCTACAAGCACCTGAGACTTTGGGGAAACATCTAGATATAAGCTACAACATCCCCCCACCTCCCGACAGCACCAACCAGGTGACCAATCCTTTGGCACATGGGCCTTTGGGTGACACTTACCTGAGCCACAGCAGTTGGTGATCACTTAGGTCAGTGACTCAAACCCTGAGCTCCAGTTTCCTCATCCATTAAAAAAGAGCGCATCATTGTGACTACAATTAATCACAATACATATATTATATACTTGAAAATTGTTAAGAGACATTTCAAGAATTCTCACCACAAAATGATAAATCTGTGCAGCAGTGCATATATTAAATAGCTTAGTTTATTCATCATTCTGCAATGTACACATTATCAAAACATCCTTGTAAATATCATAAATAGACATAATTTTTACTTGTCAATTAAAAATATTTTTAAAATATAATAACAGTAATGCACAGAGATATAGTAAGATCAACCATGTGTGAAACTGGTGTAAGAATACAAGGGTCAGAAAACATAAATATGTTTATCACACCAAAGACTAATTCCTACCATTCCCAATATCCCAGGGAGTTCTGTGATTCTACATAATACCCCAAGGCTGCAACTCAAGTTCTAATCTCAACACAGCCATAAATATCTGTGACATCCAGGGTAAAGGAAATCACCACGTCCAGTCACTTCAGCCAGTTGGTTAGTCATTAAACAAACACTCAGGAGCACCGACTCTGTGCCTTACCAGAGCCTGTAAGTCTCTACATCTCTAGTCCCTGACAACTCCCTTACCCTCTGCTCCTACCACGCACTCCCCCATCGTGCCACTGGCCTTCTTGCGGTTCCTCCAACATACCACATCTGCTCCCATCTCAGGCACGGATTTGCTCTTCTTGTTTTTTCTGCCTGCAGCACTCCTGATGGAGCACTGGATCCTTCTGCCTTCCTGGCCTCAGTTTGAATGTCTCCCCTCAGAAAGGCTCAGAGCCTCCTAGGGGATCCTTCGCCTCCCACTCATCACTCCACTTTATTGCCTTAGTAATTACCACTATCTGATACAATCGAATTCATTTTCTTCTTTATTATCTGTCTTCCCTACTACAGCATAAACTCCATGAGAGCAGGGACCTCATTCGTGCAGTGCTCTCTTAAAACTGCCTGTCATATAGTGGGTGTTTGTTTAATAAATCTTCATCAGATGGATGAGCGAGTGGATGGATGGGTGAAAGGATGTGCCTGGCACTGTGCTAAAGCAGGGGCACCACAGTGAGCAAGGCTCACGTAATCTTTTGTGATCATCACCTTCAGATGCCTCGTTTCTCAGTCCCCCAAAAGGTAATTATCCCTGGCCCTGTCTTGCCTGAGAAGTCTTTGGAGTTATGACACCAGCTTTCAGCTAAACGTGCACAATCCCTATTAGGTTTTTTCTCCAGGACTGTCCTCTCCCAGAGTGCTGAGTAATTATCCTTTAGAATTCACAATGGCTCCAAATTTTGATTAAATGCTGTCCTGGCTTTTAAAATTCCAGGCCAGACTCTTAGGCTATGCTATGCTATGGCCTTACAATGCAGAGACGGACGGAGACAGACCTTACCCCCCTCTTACTTTGCAGCCATTTCCTTGAGTATTTTGATCTGGACAAGAAGTATGACATTATTGATTGGCTCTGCCCTACTCACCAACTGCCTCATCTGCAAGAGCCAGGATCTTTATGGCTTCAATAATTTCCCAGAGTGCAGAGAACTCTTTTATATTTCTGCTTGGCACTTTGCAATTCTGTAAATTTTTTATGGACTCAGAGGTTAAATCTCATCCCTCGCTCCTAGTTTCTTTGGGATGTCTGCTTGTGCTCTAAGAAAGAGCTTGACCTTTCTGTGCCTAATGATGTCCCGCCCCCACTATTATATTTAGAGGGAGGGAAGAGGAGAGGAGAGGAGAGGAGAGGAGGGAGGGAAGGGGGGGGGACTCTTTATGTTTTATACTTGTTATTGAAAAGGGGGGAAAAAAGAAATCTCGGAAAGAAAAGTTTAGTGATTTCCCTAAAATAATACAGCCATAATTAGGAAACATTTTCTGTTCCTTGGGTGATCATTGGTGCCATTTCCTCCTCCTGGGTATAAGGTAATATTGCCCTTCTCTGCCCTCATAAGGCACATGCCTTGCTATGGACAATGGTGCTATGTGCATGGGTGTGTGTTTCATCATGTCCAGAGGGAAGTCTTCAAGAGCTTGTGCACAACTGATCTATCATGTCTTCCCACACCTAGCTGGTGAAGGTTCCATCTACCTCTAACCACTAATGAGGACAGTGGTCCAAGAATGACATGTAATGTGAGCAAGAAATCAGTCTTTCTCATTGGGTGCCAGAATTAAACCCAGGGCCTCTGCACTGTACTACATTCTCAGCCCTTTCTTATTTTGAGTCACAGTCTTGCTAAGTCACTAAGTTGCCCAGGCTGGGCTTGAAGTTGTGATCCTCCTGCCTTAGCCTGCCAGAGTACTGGAATAACAGGCATGCACCACCATACTTAGCTTTGAGAAATTTGTCACTTTAAGTACTAAGATTCAGGGATGCTCTTACCACAGCATAACCTCCCTCATCCTAACTAATAGAACCTCCAATTCCAGAGCCTCCCAGACAAGATGATTTCAAAATCTGGAGAAGATGATTTTGGTCAGCTGACCTGGTAGTCTAGAGCACAAAGAGAAAGCTTGAAAGCAGCAGTTGCTTTAGCATTAAAGATTTTCTATTTGTGTTAGTCAGCTTTTAGTCATTGTGACAAAACACCTGAGAGAAACAATTTAAAAGGACAGAAGTTTATTTTGGTTCATTGTTTCAGAGATTCTGGACCTCTGTCACTGGGCTGTTCTGAGGCCATGGTGAAGCAGAATAGCATGGTAGGGAGGATGTGGTGGAGCAAAGTTGCTTGACTCATGGTAACCAGGAGCAGAGAGAGAGAGAGAGAGAGACAGAGAAAGCTAATAAAGTATATTCTTCAAGGCCACAGCCCCATCAGTAACCTACTTCCTTTTCCCCACCTTGTAAAGTTCCACCACCTACCAACAGCCCATTAACTTATGTATCCATCAATGAGTGACTCAGTTCATGTCAGAGCCACATGATCCAGTCACCTCCAGAAGACTCCACCCTTGAACACTGCTGTACTGGGGTCTAAGCCTTCAACCTAGAGCTTTTGGGGGATATTTAATATCCAAACCATAAAAAGCTATAATTTTGCTTGGAATGAGAATTGACAAAGCTATGAAACAAGTGTATAAGTTCAATTCAACTCAGACAATATTCAAATTGCTTCAAAACTTGACTCTAAGCTTCTTTTCCGGCCTCAAATCTCTAAGTCCCCCTTCCCATTGCACCCTATGCTTTCACTTCAGTAACTTCTTTCCCCATTCACATCTGTCCTTTATTCAACTGCACCTTCATTCATTCAACAAATACACATTTGGTTCCTGGTGTGTGCAAATACACAATGGATGTCGAAGTATCTCAAACTGTTATATGCGCTTCTCATTCTCTGAATGTCCTTGCCACTGCTCTGCAGCTGAATTTTCAACATAGCGAACTTTATTCATGTTGAAAGGCCAGATCAAAACCCTTCCTAGTAGGGAGGCATTTCTGACTACTCTTCACCCCCAAACACATTTGCCTTCCTCTTTCCCTGTGTTTATGACATTTCGCCTGTATTTCATTTACCTACTGAGCACACACTATTATAATGGTTCACATGTTTATGTCTTTTGCTAGATTGTGCACTCTTGGAAGACAGGGATCATTTCTCAGTCATCTCTGAAGCTTTATGTTTGGCTTGTCATCTATGCCTAGGAAATGCTGGATAAATGAATGGATAAATGGTATGATTCAATGTTGCTGTTCTTTCTGGTTCTGCTTCCAAACTCCAGCATCTGAGCTCTCCATAGGGGAAATGGTCCCACCTAGGGCCCCAGAGACCCAGCTGAGGTGGATGGTTAGGTAAGTGTTTAATCTACACCCACAACTGGGTTGGTTGATGTGGATGGGTAGCTCTTCAACATCTCTGTGTCCATGTGGCTTCATGGATCTGATAATATGTCTGCTTGACTGAAGATCACCCAGATTGGCTTGATGAGGGGAGCAAGTGCCACTTAGTGAGTAGGAATTACCTTCTTATAGGCCCCAGAACATCACTATGGCCAGTGGAGATGTCCTCCTTCTGGTTGCATTCCAGACATAATAAATCCTACAGACCCTCATTGGCCCACAGCTTGGCTTTTGATGGTGGAACATAATAAGGTGCAAGCTGTCTAGCAATCTCTGTCATTTGTCCAAAATATTAGAACCATGGATCTGCCCAAGTCAGGTGAGCCTTCTGATGGCCGCCTGCCCCCTCCATGACCCTCCTTTTCATGCTCACGTCTGTACAAAAGCTAAGCTTTCTGTGTTGGCTTTCTCAACCACATTTGACATGATCCATATTTTCCACTTTAAATATTTATAGGAAACTTGGAAGGAAAACATTCTCTTTTCAAGCGGCCTTCTAATTTCACTTAACAGTGAAGGTCAGAGCAGTGAATGTTCCGCAAAGGAATTTATCTCCTTATTTTCAGCAGAATTAAGGACAGAAAATTGAGATTTATTTTACCCAACTTCAACATCCATACACTTCCCCCACTGCCAATTATTTCAATGGCATGTTAAGGAGGAAAAGAGCTGCGAAATTGCTTCCTATAAATTTGTGATATTTTTCTGATGATAAAAAATATACAAGTCATCTGCAATCATTTCGAAGTATAGATAAAAGTGTATAGCAGGGAATACAGGTCACATATAACCCACCACTTAGAAGTAATGGTTATTAACAATTTGGTGTCTAATATTTTAGATTTTTCTTCCAAAATGGGATTATATAGAATAGGATTATATTATGCATGGCATTTTGCATTATTCTTTTTCTGATTATAACTACATCATAGAGATCTTTCTTTTGAATGCGTGTATCACTTACACCATAATTTTTAATAGCTGCATGAAATTCAGTTGTACAAGAAATAATCAATTCCCTGTCACAGGAAAATTTAGCTTGTTTTCTGTTGTTCATCTCAAAAAATAATTTAAAGGCTTGGAGACTCCCTCTGAAGACAAGTGCGCTTACTCTTCCTTTCATATATATTTCTTGATACAGAATTGCTGGGTCAAAGGATATGAGTCTCTTAAAGGCTTTTTGTGCATATCACC